TTTCAGAAGCGGGATGTTGATCGTTCGACGGTCCGATCTCGACTCTTCGATTGTCCGTTGGTAACACTCTTTTCTGTGGCAACCCCTATCTTCTATTATTCTTTCAGGAGTTGTTCACAACAGAGCAGTTTCACATTACAGCGACTTGATTTGGACAAGTCGCCGTAACACTATTGAGTAGTCGGCGCTGAAGTACGGAATGTATTTCTGGTTCCAAGTTTTCCGTAGTCCAATTATATTCAGATTTTTGTGATCTCGAGCACGTTACTGTTTGTCTCGCATGGCGAACGCTTTCAGTATCGTTGTTTTCACTTTCAGTATTTTCGCTGTCACTCGTGAAAAATATTCTCCTAAATTTTCTTTTCCCCGTGATTTGATAACGGGTCTAAAAAAATTAAATACTTAAAAACTCAACATATCATCGCAAAGGCAGAAATTGAGTATTTACCCGCGAATTATTGAAATTAAGCCAACAAAATTATTTCAGAATTATAAATTCGTGTAAACCTTTTAATCGCTACTATTATAAATTGCTGGTATATATCCATCGCTGGCAATGTTCTAAAGAAGACCGGAACTGTGTATCGTTGGAATAAAACACAATATCGTCTTGTCAATTGTATTATATTTCACGATAGTCAATTGTTTAAGGCACGCAGCGTTGCCAGATACTCGATTAACAAAAGTATCTCATGTAAAGTATGAAATCAAAGTATATCTACATGGTATGAACGTATATATACGCTCTTCGTACCCGCGCGTCCACTTTTCCAGAGCGTATATATACGCTCTTCGTATATGAATGGCCATTCTTCGGGGGCGTATATATACTCCCATCGGAGCGAAAGGGTTAAGATTTATACCAAGACTTTTGTTGCTCTAAAACTTCTAAAACCAGAATTTGGAATTCTAGAGATCTCAGAGTTTGAACTTTCGATTTTAAATGTGAAAGAAAATCGTACGCAAAAGTTCAGGGTGTCGTTGTCGAGAGCAGGCTACGATCTTTAAATGAATCGTAGATTCAGTAGTAAAGGGTGTCCCAAAAGGGTGTAATCTTTAAGTGAATCGCAGATTCGGTAGTAAAGGGTGTTCCAAAAAGCTACAATCTTTAAACGAATCATAGATTCGCTAGTAAAGAGTGTCCCAACGTTCACACAAGAAGTAATTCCGATAGAAAATACAGGTTCATAATTAAAAATTGCAAATTTTGCATCGATTTTATAAAGCGCACGGTAGATGGTTATGTATGGAATAGCATGTCGGGTAAATGGCCTCCACGGCATTGCTGGCATACACGCGCTCTTTTGTGGAAATTTTCCATAACCGTTTTGCATAAATGTGGCCGAATTTCGTTGATGCAGCGCTCAATTTCCTTCTTCGAGGCGCGGTCGGTCGTGGGCTTGTCGGCATAAACCTTAGACTTCGAAAAACCCCAACGAAAAACATCCAACGGCGTTGAATCGCGTGATCTGGGCGGCCAATTCTGATCACCGAAACGGGAAATTATACGACCGGGAAACGACTCGTTATTTTCCAAATATTGCTCAACAACGAAAACGCGTTGCTCTTTCGCGCGGCGCTTCATTTTTAATAAACCCCGAACTGTCAGCTGTCACGCTGTCTTTCTCTTTCGCTGGCAACGCTTTGCCGCGCAAACGGCGCAAAATTCGAATCTCGCGCGAATTTTGGGACACCCTTTAGCTTGGGCCTCAAAATCCTGCAACTAGGAATTTGGCGCGTCAAAGTCTAAAAGTTTTGTCTAAAATAAGTCTAATAATAATAAGTCTAATAATAATAAGTCTAATAATAATAAGTCTAATAAGTCTAATAATAATAAGTCTAATAAGTCTAATAATAATAAGTCTAATAAGTCGAATAATAATAAGTCTAATAAGTCGAATAATAATAAGTCTAACAAGTCTAATAATATATAAGTCTAATAATAATAATTAATAAGTCTAAAATTAGTCGCTTCCGGTCTGCCAACCCTAAAACCAGAAGTCTTCGCTCCGGGATCCCTGGAATTCCAAATTCCGGGTTTAAAAGCCTCGGTGCGACAAGTCTTGCTATAAATCTTAAGGCGACGAGCCCTAAAAGTAACGGATCGTAGGATCGCAATTGCCGCGGTTACAGCGAACATCAAAAAGTTCGACGCTTCGTTGACGCGTTGTTTAATATTCGGCCGACAGCTGCGAAAGTTTCCGCCACGGTTTTTGCATGCGAATATTTTGCCCGGGCGCGACTCTGGCCGAGCCCTCGCCGATACGATTTTCCTTTACAGGCGCGGCGACCGTGTCAGAAAGCCGGCCGCGATCGACTCGTTATATTCTTAATGCACGTGGCCGGCACTCGAGACAAAATAGCGCCGTTACGGGACTCTTTTATTGCGGGCAGGAATCAGGAACGGAGCTTTGGTCGAACGTCCCGGGGCGCACTAATGGCTTCATAAATTCGAACAATCGCTTTCGAATTACGCCGAGACACTAGGCTTCTCCTACGGCTTCTCCGCGGCCGGCCAACCTTTCTTTTCTTTTTTTTTACCGAAAGAAATTCGAATGATGTAGCTCCGTTTCCACGGTTAATGTACGACCGTGTCGCGCGGCGGGTAATTGTTTCGTTCGCGTGGGTGGATGCGCGGCGGAGGGGCGCGGTTTCCGTGTAGGCAACAGAGCCGTCGAGGATCGCGAACTGAAAATCTTGAAACGCGGGTCGCCGACACGCGACTGTAATTCACTTCTGCTAGATTAGTTCCGGATGGCTCGGCGAGAAATATTAATGTGCACGATTGTGTGTACCAATTATCATCGGAGTACTTTCCGCTCTTTTCGACAGAAACGAGTATCCCGCCCCCCTCCCCTCTTTCTTCGAATTAACTCTTAGCGCTCCGCGCGTTTCTCGAGTACTGCCTACCAAATGTCTCCGTAGCGGAGCCTTCGGAGCGCTAAGGGTTAAACACTCTCTCCCTCTCTCTCTGTCTCTCTCACTTTCTTTCAATCTCACTCTCTCTCTCTCTGTCTCTCTCACTTTCTTTCACTCTCTCTCTCTCTCTCTCTCTCTCTCTCTCTGTCTCTCTCACTTTCTTTCACTCTCTCTCTCTCTTGATCATTCTCTCTCTCTCTCTCTCTCTCTCTCTTTCTCTCTCCGTCCGAAACTCTCTCCCCGGTTTAACCTTTTAGGCACGACGCGCCACTATAGTTGCTTACTTTAGTAGCTCACTCGGTCATCGAATTAAATAATCCTCTTCATATGCATTGTTTCACACTTCTTTTGTCTTCACATCGATTTACATCCAGAGAAATAGCCTCGCGCAGAATTCAGCCGTACCTCTAAAAGGTTAAAAACCCTTCAAAGTGTTTCAGAAAACACAGGAATTTATTCTGCCGATGATCGATCGGCCCGATGCCCTCCCCTCAAATTAATACGGACGATTAATTATTTGTCCCGATCGTCCGCTGTTATCTTCGATCCTCCAGCCGGCGTGAATTGTTTTTCGAACGAATGTGAAGTGGCTCGAGATGAACTTTTTCGATCGTGTCATTGTTGATAAGGTATTACGGATCGTCAAATATCGCGAAACCGCATATATCCGAAATAAGCCGATTCGACGTTGACGTGTCTACGGGAGAATCGCGGTTATTTTTAAAGTCTCGCTCGTAAAATATCATAGAATGTGGAGCGAGAGAGACGCGAAATTTCGCCGGGTCCTCGTTTTAGTTAATTAACGGGTAAGATTGTGAATTCGCGCGAACTGCCGCAGTCGGGTCATAAGAAAAAACCGCGCTACGGTTCGCGCGGTACGCAAGAACCGCGTATTTGCGCTCTTGTTATACGAGCCAGTTTTTGGCGCGTTATACGCGAGAACACACACTGTCGCAATTTTTGCGGCGCACGCTGCGCGAATCCGTGTTAAACGACGCCACCGTGTTATACGACGGTCTGATACACGTGTATATGTATACATACATAATGAATGCAATAACATGGGCCATCGGTGGACCAAGCGACCCGGATAGAGAGAGAGAGAGAGAGAGAGAGAGAGAGAGAGAGAGAACCGCGTGAAATTGGCACCGCTTGCGACACGTTAAAGCGTTCGATCTATGAAATATGAAAGTGATCAATAGATCGCGCGATATTTATGCAAACTCCTATTTTTCCAGCGGTTTCGTTCGGAGTCTATTTTTTCCAGACTCTCCCGGGCGAACGGAATATGATTCTTTTAATCAACGTTCACGCTCCTCGAGGAAACATGAAGTAGAAGTAGCAGATTATTATATTTTCTAACAATTTTTAATTGCTTCAAATTTGCCCGGGATTTCAGACTAGAGGTTTGCTTGGATAAATATATAATATAAAATAATAATATAAATAACATAATATATAATATAAAATAATAATTTCAATAATATGATATGTAATATAAAATAATAATATCAATGATATAATATATAATATAAAATAATAATATCAATAATATAATATATAATATAAAATAATAATATCTATGATATAATATGTAATATAAAATAGTAATATAAATAATATATAATATATAATATAAAATATAAAAATCTGTTTACGCTTTTTATTGCTTTAAATGATTAAAAGATCGTGAATCTAATAAGCAGTGAAAGACATGTATTATTACAATTTTTATCATTGTTAAGGATGCCCGTAACATTTTTTCCAATTGAATAAATATTGCCGCCTTGTTCGTGGACTTCGTATATCATTTTTTTCAATATACATATATAAATACATATGTACAAATATCGAATGTATGCATCGAGTGTAAATGTCGAATTTATCGATATTTACACTCGATACGATTACGCTCTTCGTGAGATTGATTTGAAACGAATCGATCCGTACGAAGCGTTGAACAAAACGCGCGTAACTTTATAGAATTCTGCGTCGCGATCGTATTTCGGGCCGCGGAGTGTCGGTCAGTGGGATGCGACGAGAACGGCCGTTTTAAAGCCGGCATTCTGTTTTCTTTTCAGCAGTGAGCTCCATGCGTCCGATAGACAGCACGAAATGCGTGGTGGTCCAAGATGTCAAGGCTGTCACTCACGAGAACGCGCATGTTCACGACCCGATATCAACGCAAATACCCACCGAAGGTAAATATCGAGCAGTATCAATTTGCATCCACTCTGCATGATGTAAATACTCCCGTGTACGGCGTCTCACGGTAATTGCTTTTCGGTGGCGTCTGCCACGTTCGAATGGCTTCCTCCGCTCTGATGTCGCGTCTACACCGGCACACAATGGCTGGGCCACGAGAATATTATCGATCCGAAATTAGATACTTCTGACTTTAGCCCCACTTGTCCCAAGTATTTACGACCCCGTCCGAATAAACTGCGATCGTACCGATGCCACACACCCTCCCTGGTTTTACTCCTGTATTTCCAATTACCGTAAATTCTCCCCAATTGACCCTCGGCCTTTTAGTGAAAAACGGACAATTTGGGAAGACGAGGTGCGATTGTTCGAACCATGCGGATCGTTTATATAGTTGTCAACGATCGCTAACTATAAAATATTGTTCACTATTGTTCACCAATATTGTTCACTTTTAAGTACAAGCTGAGAGTCAATTAAGGAGAATTTACTGTACTTTCGTGCATGTATTCGCGCCAAAAGCTGTTTTTATGAAACTGCGAATCTTTTTAGACATTCTAATGCCTTCGTAGATAATATAATCCATGGCTTGTTTAGCGGATCGTTGTATGGTATATAAATATGCTTAACTATCACTCTAGGTTAAATTACAGTTAAAGACGAATGTTGGACATGACAATCTACGTACTCCTTCATTATCAAAATAATCAAATTCTTTCAATTCTGCACATCAATTTCTGCATCACGTGCCCAAAGACGCACAGTCTACTGCGTTTTCTCCACGGCATTTTTTATACTTTCGACAACGGCGTCTACAATACAGTAATTTCTCTCGCAAATGCCAAATTTCGGGTTCCTATGAATTTCCTTGTGCTAGTCCTACATTTATGTGATTTATTGCTACATAAGGTTCGACGGAAGACAACACGAAATGGTCTGTTTGGCTTCCGAATTGTCTTCGAATCGTGTCATGTGGTCTACGAATTGTCTTCGAATCGTGTCAAGTAATCTACGAATTGTCTTCGAGTCGTGTCAAGTGGTCTACGAATTATCTTCAAGTCTTCTCATGAGGCCTCTAAATTACCTTCGAATCGTGTCACGTGCCCTCCGAATTTCCTTCGAATCGTGGCTTGTGGCCTCCGAATTGCCTATGAGTCGTTTCACGTGGCCTCCGAATTGCTTTCAAATCGTGGCTTGTGGCCTCCGAATTTCCTTCGAATCGTGGCAAGTGGCTTCCGAATTGCCTTCGAATCGTATCACGTGTCCCCCGAATTGCCTTCGAATCTTGGCAAGAAATTAGAAACAAGAAACGCACACCGGCATGCAGGCCGCTGCCTTTTCCGCCGTCTGCCCCGAGTTTCTTCAAAAAACGATCCTCAAGGCCCGAACAATGAAATCGCGACTTAGTATCCTCAAATCCACCGGTTCTCAATTCCAACCTCCGAACACATCCCCGGGAGAAACGACAGTATTCATCCAAGTAGTCGCCCGAATTCGCGAACGTTCCGCGGTTTGTCCTCGCTCTTCCAAGAGCCGCGTTTCTTTCCTCCTTCGTCACCATAAAAGAAACAAATAGCGGGCGAAATTGCATAATCCTCGCGGAACGGTGTCGCCGTCAAGAATTCGGTGGCCCGGTTCCCCGTAGCAGCTGTAAGCCGGTATAATTCCGACCGGTGACAAGTAGTTTCGCGTGTCCCTCCTCCCCGCTCCCTCCCCCCCTAATAACTCAGGGATTCGCGGACGCTGATAAACGCATTTCCACGTTCCGCTGTTCCGCAGAGTCGCTGCCCACAAGCACGGCGGAACACTCGAGCGCGTCGGACAGCGCCGGGGACCAGCAGAGCGATCCTCAGATCCAGCAGTCGGCGCAACAATGGCCGGCGGTGCTCGAGCTGCAGGCGTACAACGTGGCCCACTCGGCCGTCATACCGCCTTACAACTTCTGGAACACGGAGTTCCGTAACAAGCAGCCCGCGTTCATCCGGTTGAACCTGACTCTGCCTTGGGGCGTGAATTTCGCCGTCTACGGACGTCGCAACGTCGCGCCGAGCGTCACGCAGTACGACTTCGTCGAGTTCGTGAAGGGCGGCCGTGTCGACCACAGGCTGAAGAGGGACACGGCCTCGGAGGCGGTCAGCTTCATGAACACGGTCGGCCAGGACCTACACGGCGATCATCGACGTCGCCGGCAGCCGTCGAGCTCGCCGGGCGCTTCTTATCAGCACGTGCTCATCAAGCGAACGATCGTCGAGCCGATGATGGTGAACGTCAGCCTGCTCCAGTACCTGGACACCGGCCGCTGGTTCCTCTCCGTCTACAACGACGAGCTGCAGCCGTACAAGGTCACCCTGGTCGTCACCGAAGCCGAAGGCGTGTCGACTACCTGCCCGAACGACTGCTCCGGACGGGGATCGTGTTATCTCGGCAAGTGCGACTGCATCGACGGGTATCAGGTGCGTACACGGGGTTTCCGTTAAGACAGCCGGCGGCGCTTTGAGCCCACGGCGACTTTGATCTTGTCTGGCAACCCCCTACTCCCACGGCCGTGTTGTCCGACAGGCCTGTTTTAAACGGTTAGGCTTATCGGTGTTAACACTCGGCTGAAGGCCCGCGCCCACGCCCGCCTAGGGTCGCGCCGCTGTTAGGGGTGTCTGCAGATAAGCATCGCGGCGAGTATAATGCTCGGTAAACGGTCGACACCCTCGCTGATCCTTCTTCGATGTCCGCGGACTCTACGGGGTGTCCTAAAAATGTCTCGCGATCCGGAGATCAGGGGTCCTCGAGGTGATTTGAGGGAAGCTTTTTCGTGGCAAAAATGCGATCCGCGGCTTCGTTTACGAGTTTTCGAGGGAAAACGGTGGCCAATGAGAGGCGAGCTCGGCTGACTCGAGCTGGATCAGTCAACGAGCGCACGAAGCCTGGGGTTAATTATGGGGATTAGGCGAATTAGGCGATTGTGGCGTATTAAGCGATTCCTGAGGTTATTTGAAGCAACTTTTTCCTTAGCGAAAATGCAATCCGCGGCTTTGTTTGCGAGTTATTAACGGAAAACGCTGACCAATGAGGGGCGAGGTCAGCTGACGCATCAAGCTGATAAGCCAATGAGCGGAACTGAACCTCGCGCACTCGTTGGCTGGGCCGCCTCGCGCCAGCTGATCTCGAATCTCATTGGTTAGCGCTTTTTATTGATAACTCGTAAACGAAGCGGCGGATCACATTTTCGCTGAGGAGAAAGTTGCTTCAAATGATCTCGAGAATCTCCCGTTTCCAGATTGCAAGACATTTTTGGGACACCCTGTAGAGCTGCCGGTACCAGAACGAGTTTTTGAAAACTTCTCGCGGGCTCGACGCTGCCTGCTGTTTTCTGGGGTCGTTAACTTCGTGTCCTTGATTCAGCGATTTAACTTTTTAAGAATTTTTAATGTCCCTTTCGGCGAGCAATTAAGACGCGGATGACTCTGATCCGGACGGTTTTCTCGAATCGCCTCGTTTAAGCTGACAAAATGCATTGGCTCGTTGATCAGTTACAGCTAAACGGGGGCTGGAACGTTCCTTGCGCGAACTTATGAAAATTCGAAGCAATTACCTTTGAAATATTAACCTGAATATTTGCTGGGATAACGGTATTTATTTAATGGAATAAATCCCTTGATACGTTGTTTGCGCGGGCCGCGGGAGAACGGTCGTATGATTAACAAAACGTTGAAAACATTAACCGGGGTTTGTTGCAGCAATATTTCCGGAAGTAATTCCTTCTGCCATTTCACAGCCCTCGGGAATCGCACGGTACACTTCCATGATTTTATCTTTCCCATACATTTACATTTTTGGCGAACCCGCACGAGCAACCATTGTTCTCCCGTCGGATTCCGTTTAATTCCCGATGAACTTGTGAAATCGTAGCTGGATCGGGTGGATCAAGCGAATATAGCTTTCATTATTAGCCAAATTATGTACGAAATTGCCCACCGAATCGCGTGACAAAGATTTTTAATGAAAACAACGAACGAGAATTTTGGCGATGTTTGTACGTCGAAGGGAGCGTTAAAGGGAGCATGGTGTTGAAGAAAGGACGCGGAGTTGTATCAAGGTTATTATAGTGTGACAAAGATTTTTAATGAGAATAACGAACGAGAATTTTGGCGATGTTTGTACGTCGAAGGGAGTGTTAAAGGGAGCGTAGTGTTAAAGGAAGGACACGGGGTTGTATCAAGAGGTTATTTTCAAGGTTATTATAGTGTGACAAAGATTTTTAATAAAAATAATAAACGAGAATTTTGGCGACGTTTGTACATCGAAGGGAGTCTTAAAGGGAGTGTAATGTTGAAGGAAGGACACGGGGTTGTATAAAGGGGATCTTTTCAAAGTTATTATAGTGTGACAAAGATTTTTAATGAAAATAATAAACGAGAATTTTGGCGACGTTTGTACATCGAAGGGAGTCTTAAAGGGAGTGTAATGTTGAAGGAAGGACACGGGGTTGTATAAAGGGGATCTTTTCAAAGTTATTATAGTGTGACAAAGATTTTTAATGAAAATAATAAACGAGAATTTTGGCGACGTTTGTACATCGAAGGGAGTCTTAAAGGGAGTGTAATGTTGAAGGAAGGACACGGGGTTGTATAAAGGGGATCTTTTCAAAGTTATTATAGTGTGACAAAGATTTTTAATGAAAATAATAAACGAGAATTTTGGCGACGTTTGTACATCGAAGGGAGTCTTAAAGGGAGTGTAATGTTGAAGGAAGGACACGGGGTTGTATAAAGGGGATCTTTTCAAAGTTATTATAGTGTGACAAAGATTTTTAATGAAAATAATAAACGAGAATTTTGGCGACGTTTGTACATCGAAGGGAGTCTTAAAGGGAGTGTAATGTTGAAGGAAGGACACGGGGTTGTATAAAGGGGATCTTTTCAAAGTTATTATAGTGTGACAAAGATTTTTAATGAAAATAATAAACGAGAATTTTGGCGACGTTTGTACATCGAAGGGAGTCTTAAAGGGAGTGTAATGTTGAAGGAAGGACACGGGGTTGTATAAAGGGGATCTTTTCAAAGTTATTATAGTGTGACAAAGATTTTTAATGAAAATAATAAACGAGAATTTTGGCGACGTTTGTACGTCGAAGGGAGTCTTAAAGGGAGTGTAATGCTGAATGAAGGACACGAGGTTCTGTCAAGGGGTTATTTTCAAGGTTATTCCCGGTAGAACCGTAATGGGTAAAGACGAGCGTCGATCACCTTTACGACTGGAATGACGGAGATTACGGAGGTGCCGATGAAAATTTCAGGGGGCCGATTGCAGCAAGAGCGTGTGCCCGGTGCTGTGCTCGTCCCACGGGCAATACGGCGGCGGTATGTGTCACTGCGAGAACGGCTGGAAAGGTGCCGAATGCGACATACCATTAGGCGACTGCCAAGTTCCTGATTGCAATCAACACGGACAGTGCGTTAGGGGATCGTGCGTGTGTAATCCCGGCTGGAAGGGCGACTTCTGCGACGAACGTAAGTCAACCGCTCTGATTAAATCGGCGATTCGATCGTCGCGACATGCCCTGATTATCGTCCCTTGCGAGCGAGATTCAAATCGCCCTGCACAGCCTTCTTAACCGGTTAGCCGTGTACGACGAGTATACTCGTCGCGGGGAAGTGGCAGTATTTTGTGCCGCGACGAGTATACTCGTGCGTCAAAAGTAAAATGACCATTGGCTATTTGAATTGTGATTTTAGCGAAAACAAAAACATATTCTGGAATTTTAAGATTTTTAGGATATTTTGAGGGCAGGATGAAACAAACAAATAAAAAATGTGAATGATTGTATGAATAATTCACGATATTTACGTTCGACGTGCTTTGCTGAATATCTCTTTACAGCAGCAATTTAGCCAATATTTCCGTTTTTTAAATATATAAATTGATAATAATAGGTAAATCCTTTTTTTATTAGTAATAAAACTTTAGCAGGCGTGTCCTGTGTTCTATCAGGGAAATGATTAAGAACATAGTTTTACAACAGTTTTACATTTCACGAGCTTTGTTGAATATCTCTTTACAGCAGCAATTCAGTCAATATTTCCTTTCTTTAAATAAATAAATTGATAATAATAGCTAAATCCTTTTTTTTATTAGTAATAAAACTTTAGCAGACGCGTCTCATTCTATCAGGAAAATGATTAAGAACGAAGAATTGCTGATCATAGCAGTTATAAAAGAAATCGCAAAAAGAAATGCTATCGTCGCCCTAATTTTACCAACACTAATGAACACTCTTACTCAATGAAAAGAAATACCCTCATACTAACATCCCTAAAACGAAGCACGAGAATAATAATAATTTGTCCAAAGAATCGCTATCCTTTGTTGAACCTTCTGCTTACAATGCACGACACGAACGAAACGAATCGAAGTGTTAAAAATGTTGCAATTCGAACGGTTCGTTCAAGATTAAAGAACTTGTTTCGCCCTCGTTAATTGCACACCGTCGAACTCGAATGTTGCACACCGAGCTCGAAGTAAAATAAAATAAAATAAAATAAAATAAAGTAAAATCGCGGGCCATTACCGCGGTCGTTTTTGGAAATCCGTGTCGAGCAAATGGCGTTCGAAAGTCGCGCGAACGGCGGCAAGTGAAGCAGCGGGGCTCCATTAACAGGACCATTAAAAGGTATCCAGCGGAAACGCGTCGGAACGTCTACCTCGGACGGTCTATTTCTGCGTCGGATGTTGTTTCTTCATATTTGTCACAGCGCCATTAATATCACCGGTAATTCAGCCGTGCGTCCTGCACCCCTCCCCCTTCCTCCCTCGCTCGCTCTATCCAGGGATGTTCAAGATATTAGTAATGCAGGCTCTCCCCGGTGAACACAGCCCGCCTGTTCCCATAATTAATGCGCGAGAGCGGCACCCGCGAATTTCCATACGGGTCAAAACCTACTGACTCTGTGCCGCGTTGCCGTGGAAGATAGCAAAAGCGGGGGGGCCCCGGCGGCTGATCAAGACGAATCGTCGAAGACGAGACAAACTCCGCGAACAATCCCTCGTACACAGTGAAATAAGTCGCGGATAAAAGTTTCACCGTTGCCCCGGCCCGCAGAGAAATGACGTTCGGAATGAATGGCGAAATTATTCGCGGGAACGCGAGACGCTTTGTCCCCGACATCTTCACGGTCGCGCGTTACTCACTTTCATTTTTCCGAGCGCACGGTATTCGTTTCCCATTAGCGACGCTTCTGCGGATGATGGCGAATTTGTACGCCGATCGAAGAAGTCCGCGGCATTAACCGGCGGCAAATCGCTTTCGCAGTCGACGTGGAAATTTGTTATCTTCGTCGATTACGGTGAACAATGATAGAAATTTTGGCTTCTTTCTTAAACGATTTCGGTCTGTTGAGAATTCGCACGTGGATGGCTGTAACGCTCGACTTACGGAACCCGTCAAAATGGCGGGTCACAAATTTTCTAATTTACGATTGTTCATATCGTGAAAGTACATTTATGAGTTATTTATTCGATTTATACTTACGGCAAATGTTACAATATTGTTGCAAATCTTGTTCAAAAGATTAATATTATTGTAAATATAATTCGTTTCGTTCGTGTCGTTCATTGTAAGCAGAAGGTTCAACAAAGATTCTTTAGACGATATTTACAATATTGTTGTAAATCTTATTCAAAATTAGAATAAATATCTTATTATTATTTTTGTAAACTAATATTTACACTATTATCTTTTGTGCTCTAAATTTCACCTAACTATTTTTCTTAAACTATTTCACTTAACTATTTTATCGATCGAACAAACAATTAACAAATATAAATAATTACTGTGACTTCAAAGTTACAGATGGTTAAGTATTAATGTGTTGC